TCCTGTGGCGAGGAGAGACGACCAGACGGAAGCACCAGGCGCTTTTGTAGAGCGCAGGTGGAGTATGGGTGGAAGTCATCGTTTCGAGCTTGAACTTGCCATTGAGCCCGCCAGGTCGTACATGTTGTTCTGCTGCGTTGTTTGAGGTGGGTAGTTGGTCATTTCCCGGACCGGTTGCTTCCAAAACGCTCGCACAGTCAATTGGGCGAGATCTAAATTGCAACAGCATTTTGTGAGATGGGGTCGTTTTCGATTGCATGGTGAGCCAAGCATTCGAGCGTCAGGTGATGACGTTTCTGCCAGCCTCATATTGCATCGGGGTGGTGTCTTAGTTGAACGAAATGCCGCCGCAGGTTCTGAAGCATGATCGGAGCTTGGAAGTTCGTCCAGCTTTGGATCGTCGTGGTCTGAGCCCCGTAGACACGGAATGAGCAGACCGACGCGGCCATTCTTGGCGGAAAGGATTCGCAAGTTCTCTTCATCTCGGGAGCCCACAGCCATGAGTGAAAGGGGTCTTGAGGTTTTTGCTTGTTGTTTGCAGCTCTCCAATTCTCTTTCTGGGCCCTGCGATTGTCAAACATTGTTCTGGATGAAGACCCGGTCCCTCTGACCCGATTCAGTCATGACCATCCTTTTCTTGCCTTCCAAATTATTGACGCTGGTGATTGCAGTCCACCATTCCCTTGCCTCTGCCTGTGGACATGATGTCGAGGACGCCTGCGGCACATGCGCGCACCATCGAGAATCGTGACGCAGCGCGCATGCCAGCTTGTCCTTGCCAGGGGAGGCCTGAAGGCTTCTTTTGAGTATCGAAGACGCCTACGGCGAGTCACCGCCGCCCCCTGCCCTTTTGGAAGCGCCTATGTGGCCGAACATCGAGGCCAGAGCCCTGCCAAGCTATCGGACCATGTGTTCCCCGAATCGGTTTGGAAAGCCTTCGGGGAACACGTGGGGGAGGACGGGGAAGAGGAGGAGAGTGTGGAATGGGCGTGTTCGGGGCCCCTTGGGGGCTCTAGTGAGCTTTTGGAGGCGTCTTGGGGCCTGCTGGCCGAAGGTTGGGTCAGATCCTTGCTCTTGGGCCGTCTTGGAGGCCTCCTGCGGGCCGTTTGGGCCGTCTAAGGCCGTCTTGAGGCCATCTGGGGCCGTCTTGGGTGCATCTTGGGGCCATCTTCGCTGTCTTGGAGGCCTTCTTGGCCATCTTGTAGGCATTTTGGAGGCCATCTTGGCCGTCTTGGAGGCCATCTTCGGCGTCTTCGGGGCCATCTTGGGCCGTCTTGGGCTCTTTTGGGCGCCCTCTTGGGGGCCTCTTGGGGGTCACTTGAGCTGTCATGGGGCCATCTTGGAGGCCTCTCTTTCTTGTTTCTTTCTTTGACTGTCTTTATTGTTCTACTTCTTTTCTTCTTTTCTATTCTCTTCTTCTATTACTTTCAATCTCCTTTCTTCTTTTCTCTTCTTTTTCTTTACTTTCTGTTTCTTTTTTTTATGTCTTATGTACCCCCTCTTTGCTTCTTTTCTTATTCTTTTTCTTTCTCTAACTTTTCTCTCTTTCTAATTTTTGTATTTCTATTTCGTACTTCTTTGTCGTTCTCTTTTTATTTCTTTCTGTTCCCCCCCCCCCCCCCTTTTTCGTGGTCTATCTTTTTATTTCTCTTGGGCGCTCACTTCTTGGGACGATGTTGGGGGCCTCTTGGGCCGTCTTGGGCCGTCGGAGAGCTGGTACGAAGAAAATTCAAAAATGCTTCAAAAACCTAAGGGCAATCAATGATTTTTGCCCTTTCGGGCTTTCCTGGAGGACGTCTTGGAGGCCTCTTGGGGGCCTCTTGGCCAGTCTTAGGCCATATTGGAGCCGCCTTGGAGGCTTCTTGGACGAACTTGAAGGCATCTTGGACTCTTTCGGGCCGTCTTGGAAGCCATTTTGGATTATCTTTGGCGACTTGGAGGCCATCTTGGGCCATCTTGGAGGCCATCTTGGGCCAACGTGACCATCTTAGAGGCCATCTTGAGCAGTCCTGGAGAATTGTTTGCGGTCGTTGAGGTGGTTTCCGGGCCTTTTTGGGACCTTGGCGGGATCGGCCGAAGCCCCATGGGGAGTTCTTTCTTGGAAAATGAACCAAAACCAACATCAAAAGGATCTAGCACGCCAGGCACCCCTGTGGCAAGCCAACAGGGGGCGGCGGATCGAAGACGCCTACGGCGAATCACCGCAGCCCCTTGCCTTTTTGGAAGCGCTTGCGTGGCCGAAAGTTGGGCTTGAGCTTGGCCAAGCTATCGGGCCACGCGTTCCCCGAGTGGGTTTCGAAAGCCTTCGGGGAACTCAGAGTCGGGCGAGCTATCGGACCAGGTGGTTTCCGAGCTTTCGGGTTTCCTGGAGGACGTCTTGGAGGGCTCGTGGGCCATCTTGGAGGCCTCTTGCGGGACTTTGGGGTCGTCTTAGGCCATCTTGAGGCCATCTTGGGCAGTCTTGGGTGCATTTTGGGGCTATCCTCGCCGTCTTGGAGGCCATCCTGGCCGTCTTGGAGGCATCTTGAATGTCATCTTGGCCGTCCGGAGGCCATTTTGACCCTGTCGGGCCTTCCTGGAGGGCGTCTTGGAGGGCTCTTGGGCCGTCTTGGAGGCCTCTTGCGGGCCTTTGGGGCAGTCTCAGGCCATCTTGAGGCCATCTTGGGCCTTCTTGGGTGCATCTTGGGGCCATCTTGGCCGTCTTGGAGGCCATCTTGGCCGTCCTGGAGGCTATCTTGGGCGTCTTTGGGGCCTCTTGGGCCTCCTTGGGGCCCTCTTGGGGGCCTCTTGGGTTGTCATGGGGCCATCTTGGAGGCCTCTTGGGGGGCGCTCGTGGGACGAAGTTGGGGGCCCATTGGGCCGTCTTGGGCCGTCTTGGGCCGTCGGAGAGCTGAAAAGGAGCAAAAGCAAAAATCCTTCAGAAACCCTAGGGAATTCAACGATTTTGACCCTGTCGGGCCTTCCTGGAGGACGTCTTGGAGGGCTCTTGGGCCGTCTTGGAGGCCTCTTGCGGGCCTTTGGGGCAGTCTTAGGCCATCTTGAGGCCATCTTGGGCCTTCTTGGGTGCATATTGGGGCCATCTTGGCCGTCATGGAGGCCTTCTTGGCCGTCTTGTAGGCATCTTGGAGGCCATCTTGGCCGTCTTGGAGGCATCTTGGAGGCCATCTTGGCCGATTTGGAGGCTATCTTGGGCGTCTTTGGGGCCTCTTGGGCCTTCTTGGGGCCCTCTTGGGGGCCCCTTGGGTTGTCATGGGGCCATCTTGGAGGCCTCTTGGGCGCTCTTGGGGCGATGTGGGGGGCCTATTGGGCCGTCTTGGGCCGTCGGAGAGCTGAAAAGGAGCAAAAGCCAAAATCCTTCAGACACCTAAAGGAAATCAACGATTTTGACCCTGTCGGGCCTTCCTGGAGGACGTCTTGGAGGGCTCTTGGGCCGTCTTGGAGGCCTCTTGCGGGCCTTCGGGGTAGGCCATCTTGAGGCCATCTTGGCCGTCTTAAAGGCATCTTGGAGGCCATCTTGGCCGTCTTGGAGGCCATCTGGGGCTTCTTCGGGGCCTCTTGGGCCATCTTGGAGCCACGGGAAGTCTTCGGGGCCGCCTGGGCCGTCCTGGAGCCGTCTTGGAGGATTCTAGGGCGCTCTTGGGGCGATCTTGATGGCCTCTTGGGCAGTCTTGGACCGTCGGAAGGACGAAATGGAGCAGAAGCCCAAATCCTTCACAAACGTGGGGGAAATCAATGATGTTGACCTCTTCGGGCCGTCCTTCAGGACCCTGGAGGACCTCTTCGAGGCCTCGTAGGGCGTCTTGGAGGTCTCTTGGATGCCTCTGTGGCCATCGTGGGCCGTCTTAGGTGCTTCTTATACGAACTTAGAGGCATCGTTGACTCTCGTGGGCCGTCTTCGAGGCCATCTTGGTTGGGCGAACTTGGAGGCCATATTGGAGGCCATCTTGGAGCCGTCTGAAGCCGAACATCCTTTTGCAACCACCTTTTATGTGCCCTTCCGTGTGGTCAGCGGGACAGGCCGAAGCCCCAGGGGGAGTTATTTTGGAAAAAGGGCCAAAACCACACTGGAAAGGATCCAGCACGCCGGGCACCCCTGTGGCAAGCCAGCAGGGGGCGGCGGATCGAAGACGCCTACGGCGAATCACCGCAGCCCCTTGCCTTTTTGGAAGCGCTTGCGTGGCCGAAAGTTGGGTTTGAGCTTGGCCAAGCTATCGGGCCACGCGTTCCCCGAGTGGGTTTCGAAAGCTTTCGGGGAGCACGGGGTCGGGCGAGCTATCGGACCAGGTGGTTTCCGAGCTTTCGGGTTTCCTGGAGGACGTCTTGGAGGGCTCGTGGGCCGTCGTGGAGGCCTCTTGCGGGCCGTTTGGGCTGTCTTATGCCATCTTGAGACCATCTTGGGCAGTCTTGAGTGCATCTTAGGGCCATCTTCGCAGTCTTGGAGGCCATCTTGGCCGTCCTGGAGGCATCTTGAATGTCATCTTGGCCGCCTGGAGGCCATTTTGACCCTTTCGGGCCTTCCTGGAGGACGTCTTGGAGGTCTCCCGGGCCGTCCTGGAGCCCTATTGCGGGCATTTTGGGTAGTCTGGCCATCTGGGGCCGTTTTGGGTGCATGTTGGGGCCATCTTGGCCGTCATGGAGGCCTTCTTGGCCGTCTTGTAGGCATCTTGGAGGCCATCTTGGCCGTCTTGGAGGCCATCTTCGGCGTCTTCGGGGCCATCTTGGGCCGTCTTTGGGCCTTCTGAGGCCCCTTGTGGGGCCTCTTGGGCTGTCATGGGGTCATCTTGGAGGCCTCTTGGGACGATGTTTGGGGCCTCTTGGGCCGTCTTTGCCGTCGGAGAGCTGATAAGAAGAAAATGCCAAAGTCCTTCAAAACCCTGAGGAGCATCAATGATTGTGGGGACCACGGTAATGCTTCGATAGCCTCGATTTGTCGTCAGCGATGCTTGCATCCCGCCACCGTCTGGTCTCAAGCTTCAGCGCGCAGGGCTCCCACCGAGCGGATGGTGGTGGAGAGCCTCTGCGCGGCCCTGGCGGCGGCTGGCCCTGGCGTGCTGCGGGAGCTGGCCCGCGGCGCGATGGCGGAGGCGGCGCGGGTGGCTTTCGCGAGGCCTCAGGGTTGCCCTCCCTGCCCCGACTGCCGCCCCGCGCCCTGCCCAGCCTGCCCGGGCTGCCCATCGACCCCGCCCTGCCCGGCGTGGGAGCTGCTGCAGGCGGGGCCTCCCTCGGCGGGCGCCGTGGCCTGCGAGGAGGCGTCGGCGGCGCCCACCTGGCTGTGGCTGGTGCTGCTGCTGCTGGCTTTCGGGCTGGGCCGCTGGAGTGTGCCCGCTGCGGAAGCTCCTCGGCCAGGGGGCGCCCGCGAGAATGTCGACCTACAAGGAGCGGCGTCCAGTAGCCCGCTTGCTGGTGAGGTTCGCAGGCGTTGAGTGGACCCATGAGCGGGTCCTGCTGTAGCCAGTGCATCGCGACCGACGTCACGAGTGCTGGGTGATCGAGACGCCCGATGGCGACCGTTATGTCGAGCGGAAGGCCGACTGGCGTTGGCACGCCTCCTTGCTGCATGGGTGGCCCGAGGGCTTCCGCGGGGACGCGGTGCGGTTCCGCGGCGAGATCGGGCGCGAGGCGTTGCGCCAGATGGTGCTCGAGGGTCGTGATTTGGCGCGCGGGGAGCGGCGCCGTCGTCGCCTGCCGGCCGCCCTGGGCAGACACCTCGGCGAGGAGCCTTCCATGATGGTGGACTGGCACGGCGACGAGTGCGGCCTGGACGGAGGTCTGCTGGATGCTGCCCGACGCCGAGTGAGCGGCAAGCGCGGGCTGACGGACGCTCCGCGGGTTCCCGAGGCGCCGGGCGACGAGGCGGCCACGCGACCAGACTTGGGGGCGCCGGCGCTGGAGGACGCGGAGTCGGTGCTGCTGGTGGCGGAGTTGCATGCTGGCGGCGGACTGGCTCTGGGCGACGAGGTGACCGCCCACGAGTCGGATCTCGCGGTGGGGTCGAAGGTGATCGGCCGGCGGCCCGATGGTCGCCCTGTCCTGTGTGAGCGGGCGGCGATAGGCGAGGTGGCGAGCTGGAGGGCCCAGGCGCTGGACAACGCAGGTCGCGTTGCATCACCGAGGCCCATCGCGTGGCCCCAGGGCAGCCGGCCGCGTGGGAGGCTGGCCGCTTCCTGACAGGCGTGAGCGATCCTTTCGACGTGGCGTCGCCCGAGCTCCGCAGCTCCGCGATACGCGCGGCTCGAGACGAGGCGGATCGCCTGGCGGCCTTGGGGCGCGGTCGGGTGCTGGCAGCTGGCGGCCGCGGCGCTGGTGGCTGCGAGGACGTGGCAGGCGCGCTGGAGGCGGGGGGGGCGCCTCGTGCTGGCGCTGAGGACGGCGGAGGCAGAGGGGGCGGCGCGGGGCGAGGTCGCGGGCGCGGAAAGCAGAGGCCCGGCGACTCGGCCCCCGCCGCCGCTCAGAGACGATGGGCGTCAGGCCGGGGGTGAGGCCGCCCCCAGGCCTGGAAGCAGATGCCACTCGCGGCGAGCAGGTATACCCTCAGCCTGAGCTGCGGGAGCTGGATGTCGATGTCGCCGCGCCCCTTGGTCGACGCGATCGGGCACGAGTGCGGCGGCTTGCGAACGACGGTCTGGCTAGCTCGAATTGGTTGCACGGCGCTGATCGTCGGCCTCCAGCGGGGCCGGTCAGCTGGGCCACGCGCTGCCGCGTGGCCGAGCTGCAGCACGAGACGCAGCGGCGAGCGCAGACTCTGGCGGCTAGCTGGGGCGCGCCCGCCTGCGCGGACGATCCGCAGCAGCGCTTGTCACAGCTGCTGCGGGGCCGAGGTGGGTGCGCCCAGCTGGCCCATGCGACGCTGACCCCCTTCTTCCACGCTCGGCTTTCAGTTCCTGATGACCTGGCTGGCGCGCCGCGCGTCTCGGAGCTGCTGCCGACGGCGGCGCGGATGATGTCGAAGGGTTTCGAGAGCCACACGTTGCGCTCACCAGAATAGGTGGGCGGAATTAACGCACGCTGCGGCCCCATTCGACCATGCATGGACCCCGTGCTGAATCGCAAGCGCGCTGCCTACATCGGCCTGGTTCGGCGGCTGCTGAAGGTGGGCCTGGCGCGGCTGTCGCGCGCGCAGATGCCAGGCGGGGATCTTCTTCGTCAAGAAGAAAGGTGGCCGACAGCGGCTGATCCTGGACTGCCGCCCGGCGGGCCGCCTGTTCAGGAGCCCGCCCGGGGTCGACCTCGTCAGCGGTGACGGCCTCAGCCGCATCGAGAGGTGGACGACGAGCGGCGCTGATCGAGGCGAGGAGCCGGGGGGCGCTCTGGGCGGCCTGGGCACTTGGCTCGGCGTGAGCGACGTCAAGGACTGCTTCCATCGGCTGCTGCTGGATGATGGGCCAGGCCTGCAGGAGTGCTTCGGCTACCCCTCCTTGCGGGCCGCCGAGCTGGGCTTGGCGCATCTGGAGGGGGAGCCCCTGGCGCGCGACGCCCTGGTGCACCCGCTGGCGCGCGCGCTGCCGATGGGATGGGCCTGGTCGCTGTGCTTCGCGCCCAGCCGGCCAACTCGCACCGCGTGGCGCTGCTGCGCGAGTGGATGGCGCCCTGGAGATGACAGATCGTGCCCCCCCGCCGATCCTGGAGGGGCCCCAGTCCCTGGGCCACTACACCTACGTGGACAACATCGGGGTGCTCGGCGGATCTGAGAGCCAGGTGCAGTCGGCACTGGGCGCAGCCACGTCCTCTTTCGGCGGCGTCGGTCTGGAGGTGCACGAGACGTCCCTGACGAACGCTGGCGGGGGGGCCTTGGGCGTGCAGCTGGATGGCCAGAATGGCCACACTCGCCCCGCTCCCTCCAGGTTCTGGCGCGTGCGAGGCGCCGTCCAAGCCCTGTTGCGGCGGCGTGCTGTGAGTGGCTTGGAGCTGGAGATCGCGGTGGGCACCTCACTTTTCTGGGCTTGGTGCGGCGCGAGAGTTTGAGCTGCTTTCACTGCGTTTATCGGTACATCCAGCGGCACTACTTCGAGAGGGCGCCGCTGTGGGACAGCGTTGTCGGGGGGACGCGCGCTTTCCAGGGTCTGATGATCTTCCTGCGCGCCGACTGGGGCGCCCGCTGGATGCCTGGGTTGTACCAGACCGACGCCTCCCTCGACGGCTTCGGGGTGGCCTATTCGCTGTGGGGCCCGCGCGAGGTAGGCAGCGTTGGGCGCACCTGCGAGCGGGCGCGCTACCGCTTGGGAGCAGGCGCGGCAAGGCAGCACGCGGTGGAGGCAGCGGGCCTGGAGCTGCTGGCCGACGGCGGTATCGCGGCGCCCGCGGAGCTGGAGCGCGCGATCCCCGAGGCGGAGGTGGCGCGCTGGTGCCAGGACCCGACCTTCGAGGAGGTGCCCGCGGAGCTGCTGCATGCTGATCGTTGGCGGACGGTCTTGGCCGATCGGTGGGCTCTCGAGGGGGGGGTCCTCCACCTCGAGGGCCGCGCGCTGATCAAAGCCGTGGAGCGCGTGGCTGGCATTCGCGCTGGCCACGACGGCCGAGCCCTTCTGCTGGGGGGCAACATGGCAGTGGTCCTCGCCTTCTCGCGGTCGCGGGCGCGGGACTTCAAGCTGCTGACGATGTTTCGGCGAGCTGCGGCGTGTTCATTCAGCCGCTGGCTCAGGTTCAGTTACAGGTGGATCCCTTCGGAGTTCAATAGCAGCGACGAGGGGGCAGATTGTTTGCGAAGGAGTACGAGCCAGAAAAGTGTGCGACTCACCTCTTCCCTCGAGGTGGGAAGGGATGTGAAGACCAGAGCCAGCTCCAAGAGTCCTCGGAGGCCCATGGAGGCCCCGCCAGCCCTCGGTCCCAACTGAAGCCCCCCTGGCTCGAGGGGGTCGCCGCGGGCCCGGCGGATGCCGCCACGGGGCCAGTCGGCGCGGGCGCGGGTGCCGACGCGGGACCTGGCCTCGCCGCGGGGCGCAGCAGCCCCCAGGCGCACCGAGCAGGCAAGCCGCAGCCCTCGTCGGGCTCGGACGCTGCGCCGCTCGGTGCCCAGCGAGCTGGATCGCCGGGCCGCGGCAGGGGCGGCGCCGCCGCCGGCGAAGCTGGAGCAGGCGGTCGAGACGCCCTGGGGCCAGGAGGCGGCGCGGCTATTCGGCAGCGCCAGGGCCGCGGGCGCGACCGCCGCTGGCGCCGAGGACGACAGCGAGAGCAGCTGCGAGGAGGAGCTGCCAGGGCGAGGCCGCCCCAGAGCAGATGCCAGGCGAGCCTCCGCCCGGGTGCGACGCATGGCGCGCGAGGAGCTGCCACCAGGCCAGACCTACTTGGAGGCCCACAGCGTAACAGCGGCTACGCGAGGGCGGTACCAGATGCACGTGAACGAGCTGATGTTCGCCGACCAGCAGGGCGCGCCGCTCGTCGCGGATGCCGAGGTCGACGACTGCATCGCGAGGTGGATGAACGCGGAGTTCAGCGCGGGCCGGCGCGCCTGGCGCGGCGAGAGCACGCTGGCGGCCGTGATGTTCACCTTCCCGAGCTTCAGCCGCCATGGCGATCGGAAGCTCCCCAGGGCTTTTCGGTGCCTTCGCGGCTGGCGGCAGCTGAGTCCGCCGATGAGTCGGAAGCCCCTGCCCTGGCCCATGTGGGCGGCGCTGGCCTTGCAGCTTGCCCGGCACGGGCGTGGCCTTGCAGGCATCGCGGTGCTGGTGATGGTGGAGGCGTACTTGCGGCCCTCGGAGCTGCTGTCACTGCGACGCCGCAGCCTGCTGCCACCAGCCAAGGGTGGGCTCACCCGCTGGGGCCTCCTGCTCTTCCCGAGCAGCCGCGGCCTGCAGCGCAGCAAGACAGGCGTGGCGGACGGCGCGGCGGTGATGGACTCGAGCCGCACCCCCTGGCTGAGCTACGTGTTCTATCGGCTCGCCAGGGGGCCCGAGGAGGAGCGCGTGTCCCCGTGGGACTACAGTCAGTTCTACCAGATGTTCGTGCAGGCAGCGGCGGCCCCGGGCTTCAGAATGGTGCCCTACCAGGGCCGCCACAGCGGGATCTCGATCGACAGGGCTCATCGAGAACTGACCTTAGACGCATGTATGAAGAGGGGCCGCTGGCGAGCGGCCAAGAGCGTGGCCAGGCACGAGAAGGCGGGCAGGCTGAACGACGCTTGGAGGGAGCTCAGCGACGTGCAGCAGGCCCGCGCCCTCGTCTGCGAGCGCCTGCTCGAGGAGTGCCTCGCGCGTGGGCGCCAGCTGCCGGGGCCGCCGATTCGCCCATGACGCCGTTCGTCGCCGAACTGTTTAGCGGAACAGGGCGAGCGGCGGCAGCAGCACGGCGCTCGGGCTACTCGACGCGAGAGTGGGATGTCAAGGCGGGGCCGCCGGGCGACCTGCTCCGATCGGTCGTGGAGGCGGAGCTGCGCAGTTGTATGCGGCGAGGGCAGGCGATCGCTATCATGATGGCTCCGCCCTGCACGTCGTTCTCCATTGTACAAAATGTCAATGTGCCCTGCGTAGCAAGCAGTTCCCTCGAGGCCTCAGAAATTTGCCTGAGCCCCAGCTTACGAAGGTGCGTCTGGGGAATGCTCTTTTGGATTGCATACGCACAATACGCTTGTGTTTTAGCATGAAAATCCCGTTCTGCATCGAGCATCCGCATAGCAGTTACATGTGGCATGATCCCGTCTTGGCAGCCCTGCTTGATAGGATCGACGTGAGGATGTCTGTAGTATGTCATTGTGCCTTTGGGACGCCCCATCGGAAGGCCACGAGATTGGTCTTCGGAGGAGATGGCCTTGACCTCGGAGCCTTGGGGCGTCCTGGTGCTGTCCAGCGCACGGGGCGGCACGGTTTCTGTTCTTTCTTGGGTAAGAAGCATATAACGCTAGAAGGGAGGAGCGCGCGCGCGAAGCCGCTGCGTGGCCAAGGAAGATGGCAAGTCTGTTAGCGAGAACTTTGCTGCCACCAATGTTCGGAATTTCCCTTCCAGCACGTTCAAAGCAAATTGATTGTAGCGCTCGCCCTCGCTCTTTGTTATAAAGCGTTTACCTGCCGGTAGCCCGCCCCCCGTGGCTGAGAACTACAGTTCGGGCCCTAAAGCATTGGGGTGGTAGTCGATGATCTGCAATTCGAATTCGTGGACTGCGAGCGGGCCCCTCAGTCGGTCACGCTCCTTCATGTTCCAGTGGCGAATCTCAGGGCCCGTCTCGCAACAGAATGTGCTTGCCGCCGAGAGGAAAAGAAGCATGGTTGCGGGGGCCACGGCAATGCTCCGATAGCCTCGACTTGTCGTCAGCGGTGCTTGCATCCCGCCACCGCCCACGCCGCCCGCATTTAAGGGGCGGTTGTCGATGATCTGCAATTCGAATTTTTGGACTGCGGGCGGGCCCCTCAGTCGGTCACGCTCCCTCATGCTTCAGTGGCGAATCTCAGGGCCCGTCTCGCGACAGAGTGTGCTTGCCGCCGAGAGGAAAATAAGCATAATGTTTGCCCTTTCGGGCCTTCCTGGAGGACGTTTTGGAGGGCTCTTGGGCCGTCTTGGAGGCCTCTTGCAGGCCTACAGGGCCGTCTTAGGCCATCCTGAGGCCATTTTGGGCCGTCTTGGGTGCATCTTCGGGCCACCTTAGCCGTCTGGGCGGCCATGTTGGGCGTCTTGGAAGCATTTTGGAGGCCATCTTGTCCGTCCTGGAGGCTATCTTGGGAGTATTGGGGGCCTCTTGGGCCGTCTTGGGACAGTCTTGGGGCCTTCTTGGGGGCCTCTTGGGTTGTCGTGGGGCCATCTTGGAGGCCCCTTGGGCGATGTTTGGGGCATCTCGGGCCGTCTTGGGCCGTCGGAAAGCTGGAAAGGAACAGAAGCCAAAATCCGTCAAACACCGCAGGATATATGTGCGATGCACGAGTTTGCTTATATTTTCTTTTTGTATGTTGCAGCCCCCTCAGCAGCTGCCCCCGCCGCTGCTGGGGCTCGAGCTTTCAGCGGGTATGCAGATATGTGCCCGACCAGCGCTCTCGGGGCCATTGTGACCTTCTGTGGCGGCCTTCTGGACCGCGGCGCCTCCCCGCCCGGCGCGCCGGCTCCTGAGGGTGAGCTCCGGCTGCAGTGCGGGCCAGAACACGAGCTCGACGCCGGCCCCGTTGCGGGCCCTTCGTCGTGGACGACTATAGGGGACGCTGCGCCCGAGTGCATTGGCCCAGCGCCCCCGGCGCCAGAGGAGGCCTGCCCGCAGCCGCTGCGGGGGGCTGAGGACGGGCTCGTCGCCATCGCGGAGCTTCCGTGGCAGGCTGCGGCCTGGTGGCCTTGGCGGCCGCGACGTGCTCTGCTTAGGGGCTGGCGTCGCTCAGCAGTGCTGATGGGGAGTCCTGCGTTCACGCGGCGCGATGGCGCTGCTCTTGGGAGGCGCGTGCTGGAGCAGTATGATGATGATCCGGTCTGGGCGCTCGAAAGGATGTTGATTTGTCCGAGCTCGGCCGACCAGACTTCCTGAATGGTATCCACTGCTGGCCACGGTTCGTGCTCGGAGGTGCTCGAGGGCTACAGCATGGGCACCGAGTGGGCTGGGCAAGCTGGCGCTGGGAACGCGGTGACGTTTAGTCGTGAGCTGCAGCCGGAGAAGACTGTCAGTTTGGCGAAGCGCGGCAAGAGCGAGACGGACCTCGAGCGCGGCGCGGCCGCTACGGCCTGGTGGTCGGCAGGCTTCGCGCGCGGGGTCGGGATCTCGGCGGCGGTGATCTTGCGGGGGCGGCGCGGACTCGACAGGTACGCTGAGGGCGAGCGGGTCCCGATGGAGTACGTGTGACGGAGGCGGTCGAAGGCTGGCGAGGCGTTGAGCTTGTGGCTGCGGGCCGTCTCCGTCCCCCCCGCGGTCGGCTGCCCGAGATGCCGTTCCCCGTCGTCGTCAGAGGGGCGCTGGCATTTTCGCCTGAGGTCGAGGGCGCGCCCGGCGCTGGCCCTGTTCCCGCGGACGGGCCGGAGGGGCTCAGGACTTCCCAGAGGTCCTCTAGTTGTGGTTTTTCAACAACTTTAGGATTGTTGTTGTTTTAGCTGTATAGTTGTTGTTTTGCTATGTAGTTGTTGTTTTATGATGTTATCATTGTCTTGGCGTCTAAAAATATCAACGCATTGCTGCCGTATCTTTCTCTCGCACACTTCGTTCGGTGCGTTTCTCCCGCCCGCCTTCTCCCTTGGTGCTCTCCTTTGGTACTTGCTGCCCGCTCGCTCACTACGCCAGCCCACCCAAAAAAATATAAGACAGGAGGAGGACGGGAGGAGGACAGGAGGAGGAGGACAGGAACAGGAGGACAGGAGGAGGAGAACAGGAACAGGGCAGACGGGCGTGCATGCGAGGTCGAGACGGGCTGCCGTTGCCGCCCGACGCACTCGCCCTTGCTTCCGTCGCCGTCGCCGCAGACGTGGCCGTCATTACTGTCGCCAGCGCCGTCGTTGTCGTCCACCGCCGCCGCCGCCACCGTGGTCATCGCCGCCATCGCCGTCTTTGTTGTCTTTCGTCGTCGTCGGTGTCATGGCCATGGAGATTTTTTGTTTCGTTGACGTCGTCGTTGACTTAATCTGTCATCGCCCGTGCGTCGAGCGTTTGTGCCCGAGCACGGCCCGCCCTCGCTCGCGTTCGGTGGGCAGCGGGATGGCTGCAGAGAGGAGCTGCGAGGCTCCCTGCTCCGTCCTCCTGCGCCTCCCATCCCCCCCCTTCTTCCCAACCTTACCCAAACCCTGTCCCTTCCTTCATGTCCCCTTTCTTCCCTGTCCCGCTTCCTTGACCTCAATCCAATGCCCCGTCCTTTTTCCCGCCCTTCCTTCCCTTTTTTTGACCCTGGGCCCTCGTCGCAGAAGGAAATGCAATGCCCCGTCGGCACTGCATTTCCGACTGCGAGTGTGTGATGTGTGTGTGTGTGTGATGTGGCCTCGCAGGCTGCGGGGCCAATCGATGTCGAGTCCATGACGCCGCCGCCGCCGCGCGCCGAGGATACGCAGGTAGAGGAGGCACGTTGGTCCAAAACGATATGCCACATGTGGCTGTCATGTGTTATGGGTCTCGCCCCGCTTCCACCTCGGGGGGGGGGGGGGGCCTGCAAACAATATCCCTATCGTACCAGCCCAGGCATGTTACGAGACCATGGGGAATGACGCGCAGTTGCCCCTCGGCACGTCTCAGGAACAGATTTATCTTCAACTGCCTCACGGGCGTGTTTATTAGTGTCGTTGGCGTGATCCTTCTCCTCCGTTTCCTCCTTTCACCTCGTCCTATCCCTCCTATTCGGCCCACCCCCTGCTCGTACGTGTCCTACTCCGTCCCCTCCTCATCCCCCTCCTTCTCGCCCTCCTCTTCCTGCTCATTCCTCTTTCCCACCCTTCGTCACCTTTGGAGCTCGTGCTTCTCTTCGGCCGATTGCCAACCGCAAGCTGATGCTTATCTTCGTCGCCCCCCACCCCCCATCTCGACCTCTTCCTGAGTGCCGAAACTGCTTCCCGCATTCTAGGATGAAGAGTCGCGCCTGGGCCCATGCGAAATCAACACTTGCTACAGCTGGCAATCGACCTGGCTTGCAGACGCCATCGTGGGGGGTCCTCCGTGGGGCTCGTCAATCGAGGCGCCACGTCCCTTCTTCCTCCGTCTCCCTCCTCCTCGCTGCTTTTCCTCCGTCAGTCTCCTGAGGCGTCGCAGCCGACCGATGACGAGCCAGAGACAGTGCCAGGTGACATCAATAAGGGAGCTCAGGCTGAGGCTGACGAGTTCCCAGCTGAGCAGGATCGAGATCGGAACATTCCCGTGTCGAATCGTTGGCTTCGTGTCGAGTCCGATTCGGCGAGGTTCTGTTTGGGTTGCATTTCGCTTGCGAAAACGCAAGGCTGGCCCGAAGTCTGAATCGAAATCAAAATTGAATTTGCCCACGTCGGAAAACCGAAACCGAAATCGAATGTGATCAAATCGAAGCCGTAATCGAAATCGAAAGAAAGCCAAACCGAAACCGAGTTTAGGTTGAATCGAATCGCAACCGAAAAGGCATCGATTCGAACGTCACGCCTCCCCACTCCTGCCCCCCGCGCCCCGCCCCGTTCTCCGGCAAGGACCACCCGGCGTTGCCGCCCGAGCAGCAGGGGCAGGAGCAGCTGACGCAGCCGAAGACGCAGGAGAAGATGGAGCAGGCAGCATGCTGCTTCGCCGCACCCTGCTTCTCTGCATCGCTCACGCCGACCCTCTAACAGAGAAACCATGAGAATAACCCCCCAGGGATAGTAAAGTTCGGGGGGTTCGGGGAGATAATAA